TTAGATCTAAAGAAGACGAGGTGGTGAGTTGGTGAAAGGAAGGAAGGAAGGAAGTATTATTGGAATGAAAAAATCAAAGCTCGAAGGAGTCAACTTGGACTCTGTTTTTAACATTCTGACAAATTAGATAGCTTTATACTTACTTTTTTATTTTACTTAAGTTTCTTTGTCGGTATGTCTGTAAACAGCTAATTATTTAGAATTTAAGGTGGTAATTGTTTACTAATTCAACACCATTAGTCCCTTCTAAGTTCTTACCATGTTCTTAACTCATCCATATCCAACAAGCTTGGATCTAAATCTCTTTATATATAAACAGTATCTTGAGTGCTCTCCAGACCACAAAGTATAAAAGTTTATACATTTTTTTCTTTATTTAAAAGATAATAATACTAACTGAAGATAAGGGAAAATACAGAAAACCAATGGTGTGTTTATTTCCTCATCTCAAAATGGCATATATTTTGTCAATGAAAAAAAAAAACAAAAATTAGAGAAAAGGACCAATCTATATATTATTCCATGACACTAGAATCTAATTTAAACATGGGGACCACACTTTTACCAATCTTTTTCAACTTTTGATTTTTTTAGAAAGCGTCAATGAGATACCAATTCTTATATTCACACTCTTCTCTGATTCTCAATGATAATAACAAGTCGTTTGCTTGTGATCCTCTTGATTCGTTTACAATGCCTTTTTTGGGAGTCTATTCTTGATTATATAGTCAGTCATATAGTTTGGATATTATGTCCTTTTCTTAGCGTTCATGAAAACAAAAATCAAAATGTATGATTCTTCTTTGGTTCATCTTTGTTGGGGGCTACCATGTGGCTTTGCTGTTTTGGGTATAATATAGGTTTTTACAAGAAATTTGGTGGTTAGATTTCTGTCTAAAAAACTTCGATTCCATTCTCATGCCCGTAAATCTAATGGCAACCATTATTTTAGGGGAAATACAATAAAAGAAAGCAATGGAGACACTCGACATCCTCAACCAAAAAAGAAACCAAAATATTCCGTGAGACAAAAGTAGAAACAGAAGATATAATACTTTTTTTTTTTTTTTTGATAAACTGATTAGTCCGTTATCAGACCGTTGAGTCTGCAATTTCTCTGGAAGACTGTTCGTAAGTATCATCTTCCTCTACGAGCGGTCGTGTATCCGCCGCAGGATCGTATCCCTGAACGACGAGCACCGACGCGGTAGTTGAAAACTCCGAGGACGACAACAAACGTCCAACTGGTCCTAACTCCGGACAATCCGTACTGTTAACCAACGAAGCAACCGCCGCATTTCTCCCAACTACGAAGAGATTGCATTTGCTCACTGCTTTAAGTGTCGCGTTTACATCTTCTTTGCTTTCAACGACTCTCTCTTCGTAAGCCAACGACTCTTTCCCTCTCGGATCGTTCATCAACTCCTTCACAAACTCTTCGTCAATCTCTTTCTCTTTCTTCTCCTTTTTGTCTTCTTCGCCTTTCTCGAATTTCTTCAATGTCCCTCTCGCAGCTACAAATTTGAGAACGCTAAGTGTGATTCCTGGATGTTCAACCATTTGCATACCATAGGCGAGAGCTTCTCTGTCGTCTAGGCCTCCGAAGAACGGAACCACAACTTTGTAAGAAACTTCACTGGCTACAACCTGTGAGGTTCCTCCTAGTCCTCTGTCCACAAGAATCCCGACGGAGCAAGGAGCTCGTTGTAAGATCCGTTGGTTCACTTCGTGGAATGCATGTCCTATCGACTCCATCGATCCGTCCACTCTCTGATGCTTGTGAAACGGAAGCAGAATCATCGCCACGCGTTTCTGATGCGCGCTTGTGCATATGTCCACGTGGATGCTGCTTAGGTCAGAGATTGCAGTCATTGGTCTAACCGCTACGGCTCTGAGATGCTGGTAAGCCTCAAAAGCAATCACCATCTGATCTGTTGATCTTTCAATCTTGTTCCAGATTGGTAGTCCATTGTTCCTAGCTTTGTGAACCATGGCGATAGCAGATGACCGTTCAGAGAGCTCCATAAGATGCATCGCGTAAACGCAGAGACGTCCTCTTTTGCCTGTTCCTCTAGATGACTCGATCAGATTGATCAATGTAGGGATGTTGCGGGTACTGTGGAAGCAAGCAAGTATACGTAGCTCGGAATCATGATCTTTTCTTTGGATTGTTCTGTGCTTGTATGGTGCTCCTTTTCTTGCAGGCTTGTAAATCACCATCAAAATTGGAGTTGTGATGAAGGTCGTGAATAATGCCATTAGAACTAAGATTGCAAACGCTTGATCATTCAGCACCTACTCGCAAAGATCGTTAATTAGATCACTGAGTTCTTAACATTATTTTATATGTCATATTATGGATTTCAAGAATCTCTACCTTCCGGTCCTTGCCAATGTTTAGAACAATGAGCTCTACTAAACCTTTGGTGTTCATAAGGACTCCAAGTGCCATAGCTTCTCTGAAAGGAACCTTGCAGAGAAGTGAGGCACCAACAGTTCCTACAATCTTCCCGAAACAAGTGGTGAGTATGACAAGAACTAGAAGTCCCCATGACTGCGCTCCTCTGATCGTTGTTACATCAGTTTTGAGACCGCTAGCCGCAAAATACAGCGGTAAAAGAAGCCCCGAGACAAGATCCTCTATCTTCTCAGTCAAAATCCTGCAAAACGGTCCTTCTTTAGGAGTTACTATACCTACCACAAACGCCCCGAACAGCGCGTGTATCCCAATAGTGTCTGTCACAAAGCTTGCTGCTAAAACCAAGGTTAGAGTGATACAGACATAGAGTTCCTTCACAGGCTCTCCCTCAGGACAGCGTCTAGCCATATAACCAAGCAGAGGTTTGATTGCCAGAACTGCAAAGGTCACAAATCCAGATCCACAGAGAAGGACCCAAACAGATACAAGTGGAGAAGTCCCATCTCCTGAGAGAGCAATAGCAAGCGCAAGGAGTATCCAAGCTGCAACATCATTTACTCCCGCTGCAGACATCGCCATACGTCCAATATCGGTTGTTAGAAGCTTTAGCTCAGCTAGGATACGAGCAAGCACAGGGAAGGCAGTGATTGATAAGGCAACACCCATGAAGACTATAAAAGGAAGCTGATGGACTCCTTTGCTTATGGTGGCACTGAGAACAAAAGATGTGCCTACACCCATTATAAAAGGAAGTGAGATCCCAGCTAGAGCTATCAATAGTGATTTCTTTCCGGTTTTTCTGATTGCAGCAAAGTCAAGCTCAAGCCCAACTAAAAACAAGAAAAACAGAAGACCGATGTTGGCAAGCGTGTCTAAAACGGTCAAGCTCTTTTTCGGGAAGATGGTGTCAAGATACGCCTTGCTTCGTCCCAGAGCAGAAGGTCCAAGCAGTATCCCTCCCTACAGAACCATCCATTTTAGTCTCTTTTTGCTATGTGATTATCATTGAAAAGGAGAAAAAAAAACAAAGAGATTGAAGGAAACTCACAATGATCTCAGCAATGACCCTAGGCTGTTTCAGAGGCTTTAGAAAGTAAGCTAAGAGCCTTGTAAACACAACCACCAAGACGATTTGTAGGATGATCAGAGGAAGCGCGAAATCAAGAGGGCTTTCATTTTGGAAGGCTCCATTAGAGGTGGCCTTCATCGGAGCAGGGCAATGCCCTGTAACATTGGTGCTTGCCATCCTAGTCGAGATCAAACTTTACGGGTTGATGATTGGTCGAGAAAAGAGACACTACTTCAACCTTCAATAATGCCTTGGCTGCTCCTCCCTCATTGCATTGCCAAGCGAGTAATGAGACTTGAAATGGGAGGAAAAAAAAAGAATCAGAGTTTATTCTATTCTCTGCAAGTGATTGTCATAAACAGAATCTATCTTGAAGAAGAGAGTATATAAAAGGGAAAAACAGAAAACTAATCATGTCGATACTTGCTAATAATAGGAAGAGGAGATTGAGGAGGACATACCAACTCCAGGGTGGGCATATACCTCGCACTTTTTTCTATTTATAGTCTGTCAGTTACTTAACTTCCAACCATATCGCATCTCTCCTTCACAAATATGAAGTGTCTAGACTGCGCTGTCGTTTTCGCCTCTGTTTACGCTGATTTTCCTAAATTTGCAAGCACTTGTTCCTGTCTCCTGAAAAAATTGAGCATGTTATATCGTACCTTTCAAAGCTTCCTAATCGTCAACCATTTTCACATATCTCGATGTATATATTCATTGGATAGGCGAGACGATATTGAATACACAATCTGTAAACATTCATTGAGATGCATAAAGTAGTAGTAGGAACAACTTAACACATTAAAGACGAAGAATCCAACATTGTTCCAAGCGACTAATTTACATTTCAACTCAATCATTGGTTCTCTTTACATTCAAAATTCCCAAAAACGCTTAAAACTGAAGACCGTGTTCTCGTCCTGCAGCAGCTACACTCTCTAACATTATGCCATTACTTGTAACTAGTTACGGATTCATACACCAACTATGAAATACATTCTTCTTTTCTAAACACTCAATTTCATCAGAATTCAGCGTTTTCCCCTCTAATTAGACCCAAGTACAGGAACCACTCACATGCAATAAGCAATAGCGAAAAATTTAGTGAAACTGAACATGAAGCTGTCGAAAGTGAAGGAACGAAGCTGTACCTTCTTAACGAATACGAGAATGGCGGGCGATTCGGTTATCGCTACTGGTTCTGGTTTCGGCTTCCACCATTATAGCCCCAAATTGAGGAGAAGAAGACCATGGCTCCAGAAAAACGGCACGGTGTTCAACTCCACTTCCTATGAACGCACTGTGGTTCAAAACCAGGCTTACCGATCCGCTTCCGCTAACACTCGCCATTGTGT